AGTTTTGACATGTGACACATCATTTTTAACTATTTTTCAATGAGGAATTCGAAAATTCATCTCATTTTGTGTTTGGACGTCACTGTGACGATGACATCGTCACGGTGACGAAAAGTGACGAAAAAGTGTCACTTGTCAGTTTTGACATGTGACACATCATTTTTAACTATTTTTCAATGAGGAATTCGAAAATTCATCTCATTTTGTGTTTGGACGTCACCTGTGACGATGACATCGTCACGGTGACGAAAAGTGACGAAAAAGTTTCACTTGTCAGTTTTGGCATGTGACACATCATTTTTAACTATTTTTCAATGTCAAATTCAATGGTGACCTCCATTTTGACCTCAGAGGTCATGTAAAGGTCATAGGACATATCTATTTCAATTTCAACTGAAATTTAACCCCGAATTCAATGGTGACCTCCATTTTGACCTCAGAGGTCATATAAAGGTCACATAAGGGTTATCAACTGTTAAATTTGACACAAATGAGACACAAAAGTCGAAAACACGTCAGAAGTGTCAATCTTAACAAATTTTCGAACAATTTGATATTCTCATTGACGTATGACACTCCTTTCACCCCTTGGTTACATGCGTTGTAACGGTTTATTAATACCTTATTCAATTATTCTAGCGTTGAATATGCATATGTACGAAAAATATTTAAGCAAGATAATAAATATTAAAAGTTGTTGAAATCAGTAGGATGGCTTACAATTAGTGACCGGGAGTTCCGGTCGGGGACGCTGATTAGTCCCCACACTAATTAGTTCACAATCCATTTATTACCATCATAAAATTCAAAGCATAATCAAAATTTAACTTCTGAAGTATATGTACATAATCATTTAGATCGTGAAATCTTGTTAAAAAAATACGAGGATGTATTATTATTATTTTCATATATATAGTTATTCATTGTCATACACAAAAGGAAATGATGCTACTAATGACGACGCGAATCATTTATATCTACATGTGCCTAAACGCCTGAAAAGCAGCAACAAAATCTAATATTAAATACATAGTTTTAGCCACTACTGTCAAGATTTTTACTGATTTTATGTGTATAGTATGTAATTATTTATCCCACAAACTAATTTTGAATTTTAAATAGGATGACCAGGATCCCGATAATAAATAAGTATGTAATTTAATTTACCCACAAAACAATTACCCTCGAGTACCCCATTCTAATCGTAACAATTTCCACAAAAAGTACCAATACTCCCAGTAACATTACCGTCCCAGAAACAATAAACAAACTAATTAACTCCTTCAACAAAATAAATTCAGTCGACGATAACCTTAATCTTCCCCGTAACTGACGTCTCCACCTAGAAATCTTCAACTGAGCCACATACCTTCTCCAAAATTGTGAAAACCCACCCTGCTCAATAATTCCAATATTTTTCAAAATTTCTCGCCCAACCACCAAATTCGCCGAGAAGTACATCGCATGGTTGATAAACGTGTCAGGCACCGCGGAACAGATTGCTGTCGAGTTATTATTCATAACTTCAAGCAAGTAATCGACCTCATCCCGCCACATGAATCGGTGCATGAAAACATATTTGAACCTTTCGCTTCGTAATAAAGGTAATAAATCAAACAAACTTTTGTTCATGGCATGCACCACGTGCTTTTTGTCGTTAAATTCCTCATAAATTTTCAACCGCTCCAAATCAAGTTTAAGCCAGGTCTTCACAGAGATATTATCCCTCGTTTGGTGCACCATCTTATACCCGGATTGCAACAATGGGCAAAATTTTGCATAAATTCTACATTTCCTGGGACAATGATGATATGGCTAGTGAAATATGTTTCGTAAAACGCGCCAAGAACAGTGAACGAAATGTGCAGTAGACTAGGTTCACATAAACCGGTACATGGTGTGGCATGAGTTGTCGAGAAACTAAAAACGCTCTTACACGTGTCCAATAAAATCAAAAATTAGTGTATACATGCATCAGCGTTTTTTCTCAGGGTGCCCCAAATTTTTCATATAGCCCCAAATGGTGGGAAAAATCATTTTGGCGTTACTAGTACACTAGATTCCTCCAAACCTGGCATACGGTCCTCATTTGGGATTGTCTAGAGCGCCTGAGTGAATGGAGTACCTAGGTTGAAATTGGTAATGCCAATTACCAGACAATTTTGTCAATTTTTTTCGTTTTTTCGAAGTATTTTGGAAATTTATTAAATGGTATCTTTCTACCTTCATATCTCTACAGAAACCCTATATTCTGCATCGAATGCCGTTTCATAGATCCTCATAGTTCAAATATTAAGGGTACTTTGTAGGAAGATCGATTTTGATAGAAGTTCCCAGCAAGTACCCATAATACTAATTTTCTCCACTAGTGTCAGTTCGATTTACCCCAATTTTTGATATGTTCAACATATTTGGTAGCAGAACAATTGTTAATTGCAAAAAAGGGAAAAATCGGCCTGCGTGACCTTGTTTCAGGGGTCAGGAGGAAACTTCGGGCAGTAAAGTCTCACATAACCCCATAACTGGGGTATCGTTGGAAAGGTTTCGGAGAGAGGATTCAGAATATATATACTTTGTAGGATCTGGGATCACCCCCTGATTGTTTACAGACCAATGAATATTATTGAGTTTTATTTTTCCAGGGATACAGCCGTTAACACAGGAGCAGATTGACGACTAACATTACAGTAGATTGATGAAAACTCGAAAATATTCTTATGACTCTGGAACAACAGAGAGCAGTCATAGACCCTATAAAGTATATACATTCTTATTCCGTATGCCGAGACCTTTCCAACGATACCCCAGTTATGGGGTTATGTGAGACTTTACTGCCCGAAGTTTCCTCCTGACCCCTGAAACAAGGTCACGCAGGCCGATTTTTCCCTTTTTTGCAATTAACAATTGTTCTGCTACCAAATATGTTGAACATATCAAAAATTGGGGTAAATCGAACTGACACTAGTGGAGAAAATTAGTATTATGGGTACTTGCTGGGAACTTCTATCAAAATCGATCTTCCTACAAAGTACCCTTAATATTTGAACTATGAGGATCTATGAAACGGCATTCGATGCAGAATATAGGGTTTCTGTAGAGATATGAAGGTAGAAAGATACCATTTAATAAATTTCCAAAATACTTCGAAAAAACGAAAAAAATTGACAAAATTGTCTGGTAATTGGCATTACCAATTTCAACCTAGGTACTCCATTCACTCAGGCGCTCTAGACAATCCCAAATGAGGACCGTATGCCAGGTTTGGAGGAATCTAGTGTACTAGTAACGCCAAAATGATTTTTCCCACCATTTGGGGCTATATGAAAAATTTGGGGCACCCTGAGAAAAAACGCTGATGCATGTATACACTAATTTTTGATTTTATTGGACACGTGTAAGAGCGTTTTTAGTTTCTCGACAACTCATGCCACACCATGTACCGGTTTATGTGAACCTAGTCAGTATAGTTACGAGAAGGAGTGCCTTTTTCGGTACGTAAATGTCTTGCCCGTAAAACATGCCTAAAACCAGGAGGAAAAAATGCGACCATCAGAACCAAGAATTGTGCAGTGGGTCGTGTCCACAATTGAATTTGGCGCTTGATTACATGTGTCTCGCATTGCCCAATAATTATCCAAATTACTCGCCCGCTCCACCTATCGGCTTTTTGGGGTACAATGTTGCATTTTTCGCCGCTAGATGGTGATTTTGGCATTTCTTCCCAAAACGTTATGCAAAGGTGTGACAGCGACTAAAACGTTTCAACGCACTGCTAGCACGTTTTTAGGTCACTTCGCGTACCTTTATCGAGAATGGTTGTGTGGAAATTTTGTTCCGCTCTACAGCAAAAAAAATAACGCATTTGTTTTCAAAAGTATTTGTGTTGTTTATCACACTGACTTTGAAATTGATGTTCAAAGTATTTCCAGCCAATTAATCGTCAATTTAGGCAATAACCCAGGCGCCAATTTTGGAAAAAGAAATTTCGTTTCGTTTCGGGTTTTCAAGGTGAGTTAAAATAATAAATTGTTTACAAACTATTCTATGGTTTGTTCAAGCATTATCTTTCCGAACAAATTGTGTTAATAGCCGAATTAATCGAATTTTGTAAACTTTTGTTTTGATTATCAAAACTCGCGCTCAAATTTGTAAGTCTCGCATTGCTCCTATTTCCCTCATTTCAGGACGGATAAGGCAAGAATTGAATTCTATCTAAAACTACGATTGTTGTTTACAATTTTTATAAAGATCAAACAAGTGGTATTTACAATAGTTCATATTTTGCAGTGTCGATCGTTCCACAGCACTGCCAACAGCAGTTGTGACTTCCAAATCCTCTGGCTTCTTTCTGCTCCGTCGTAGTCTCCACTAGGTAAGTGATTCATAAATAAATCATCAGCTTTATGATTGTCCCTTTGCATCATACTAAATTTAACTGCATTTATATTATAGGAATTCATAACTCCCTGTGTGTCACCTTAGCCTAATACATGCTTAAGACTAAGGCTAAGCTAAAAGTGAGTATCTGTTCTATGATTATTTTTTTGCTGGGCTAAATATTTTGTTTACAATTTGATACTAACAGCAATCTGTAAATTTAAGGATCGACGACTGTAGCTTGCGCTACACCCTAGGCCGAAGTGGCTTAGTTTCCATTCTCCTCCCCCACATTTTGAGACTTAATTACCAGCCTACGCTCCCCCTGAGGCCAGTCCCTTTCATTTTCATTCTTCGCCCATCTTTGAGGCTTCGGTGATTTTTTAATTGAAAGGCGTCAATCACCTTTGAGACCAACTTTTAGAGGCTTGGGCCAACTTTGAGACCAACTTTTAGAGGCTTCGGCCAACTTTGAGACCAACTTTTAGAGGCTTCGGCCAACTTTGAGACCAACTTTTAGAGGCTTCGACCAACTTTGAGACTAACTTTGAGACCAACATTGAGAGGCTTCGGTCATTTATTAATTAATTTCCTAATCTATACAACGGACTGAATTAGTAACAATGAGCAGAAGGAAACAGACCTTCGTTGTAAGAGATGATGCTTCGCAGTCCCAGAATGACATGGGTGCACCATCGCCTAAACGATCAAAAGATGCTGCACGAAAGCGACTAGAGAGAGAAAATGAAAGCGAAGAGCAGACTGCGGCTCGACATCTCACGAACTCCCGAAGTTATGCAAAATCTAGGGAAAACGAAACTGTCCCCGAGACTTTAGCAAGGCTAGAACGGCGGAGAACTAATCGAATTAATGCAGCTGATCGCAGAATACAAGCTACTTGCCGAATGGCATTAATCAACGAAATAGACGAGTCTCAATTTCCCTTACACAATATTGGACAATTTGATGTTATTTGCAATGACTGCAATGCTATTCATTTTGAAAACGAAAGAGCAGGAGATGGAAAATTTACTGTTTGTTGTAATAAGGGTAAAGTAAAATTACCCGAAATTCAGACCAATGATTACATTAAGGGATTGTTGACAGGAACAGACCCTGATTCAAAGCACTTTTTTGATAACATCCGATCCTATAATAGTGCATTTGGTTTTGCATCTGTTGGAGCTCAAATTAGAGCACCTCCAGGTTTCGGCCCGTACTGCTTTAGAATCCATGGTCAAATATACCATAGAACAGGAAGATTACATCCTGAAGGGAGTGAACCTAGGAAGTATGCTCAAATTTATATTCTTGATCAAGAACAAGCTACTGCCCAGAGAATGAATCAACCAGCCAACGCAAGTTGTAAAGAGCGCATAATGACAAAATTATTTGATATAATGCAGCACAATGATCTTGCAAAAGCATACAAAATGTTATATGAAGTTGAACAGGAGGAGAAAGATAAGGCAGCTCGCGAAGGACGAGTAGAAAATCAGATTTCGATGGCCATTTTACAAAACCGAAATTCTGATCCAAGGCGATATAATGTCCAACGGAGCAATGAAGTTGCAGTTATTTTTAGCAACACAGATGGAGAACCCCCACTAGAAAGAGATCTATTGGTTCACCTAAGATCAAGAGGACAAAATGTTCATGGAACTAAAAGAATTAGCATTCTCCATAAAAATTTAGATTCGATGACATATCCAATTTTTTATCCTAATGCGGAACAAGGTTGGGGTGAAGATTTGACCCTGATTAATACTGGCAATACGAGAAGAAACAAAGCAAGAGTGGCTGATGAACTTGCAGCCGACTTGGCAATTTTTAATCCTGCTGAAGCCCCTGTAGCAACTAATAAGCGGAAACGTGTAACTTTGAAAATGTATTATTCGTATTTATTCTCGATTAGAAATCAGTTTAGTCCGATTCTAAGCGGCGGAAAACTAACTCAACAATATTTTGTTGATGCATATGTGAAAGCAGAGGCTAACGATTTAAATTATATCAGACACCATCAAGGTGATCTACGAGCTGATTCATATTCATCATTAATAGATCATGTTTCTGAAGCTCATGATGCAATACCTGGAAAAAGAATTATTTTGCCCTCAACATTTGAAGGGAGCCCGAGAAATATGAATCAAAAATACCAAGATGCAATGACTATTGTTCGCAAGTTTGGGAAACCGGAGGATTTGTTTGTCACAATGACTTGCAATCCGAAATGGGATGAGATAGTTCAAAATTTAAGAACCGGAGAGCGAGCAGAAAATAGACCCGATTTAGTAGCTAGAGTGTTTAAACTCAAACTGAAAGAACTTCTTGATGATTTGATCGAAAAACAAGTCTTTGGTACAGTTTTGGCTAAAGTGCATGTTATCGAATTTCAGAAACGAGGTTTACCTCATGCTCACATTTTGATTATCTTGAAACTGGAAGATAAACCTAGAACAGCGACGTTGATTGACAAAATTGTTAAAGCAGAAATTCCCAATAAAGATACACATCCACGACTATTTGAGGTTGTGACAAAAAATATGATTCATGGCCCGTGCAATAAGCCAGGATCTAGATCACCATGTTTAATAACTAGACTTAAACCTAAATGTTGTAAAGGATTTCCAAAGCCTTTCCAATCAGAAACACAAAACAATGTCAATGGTTATCCAGCATATCAAAGACAAAATTTAGGTACCGTGGTACTCGACAACCAAACTGAAATTAATAACAGCTGGGTTGTCCCTTACAACCCTTATTTAAGTTTGAAATACAATTGTCATGTTAACGTGGAAGTGTGTGCATCTATAAAAAGTGTTAAATACCTCTTTAAATATGCCTACAAAGGACATGATTGTGCTAATGCACAAATAAGTATCGATGAAGTACAGACGCATGTCGATTCAAGATACGTCAGCCCACCTGAAGCGGCCTGACGAATTTTTAAATTTAAAATGCAAGATCAAAGTCATACCGTTAAACGGTTGGCTGTGCATCTTCCAAATGATCAATCAGTCACATTTGATCCTGATGAAATTGACGAAGCAATTCAAAAAGCTGAACGTAGAGATTCGACTTTGATGGCTTGGTTCAAGCTAAATCAGACATGAAGCTCGAAATTTTAAGTATCATGAAATTCCAGAGCATTATGTATTTAATGCAAAATGTCAGTGGGTGATTCGCCAAAGAGGACAAGAAACGACAATTGGTCGAATGTATCCCGTAAATATGAGAGACACTGAAAGGTACTTCTTGAGATTATTACTTTTACACGTAACAGGGGCAACGTCTTTTGATGCCCTCAGAACATTTAATGGACAAATATTTCCGACATTTTATGAAGCCGCATTGGCTAGAGGACTTACTATGAATGAAAGCGTTTGGGATGACACTCTTAACGATGCAGCATATTCCTCTATGCCAAGACAACTCAGAGAGTTATTTGCATATATTTGCGTGTTCGGGGGTTTCGCTGATGCTAGAGATCTCTGGAATAAGCATAGAGAAAATTTAGTCGAAGACTTTGCTAGAGTTCACGGTCATCCTCCTGGATCCACGTGCGAAGGCTGTGATAATTACACCCTGAGAGATATTCAAGATACCTTGATTGGCCATGAACACAAATGTTCCGACTTTCAACTTCCTGATCCGCCTAGAGATATGCTAATAAATATGATTAACTTTGCTGAAATTGAAGTTGAGAGGGAATTAGGGGAACAGCTGAACGCTACCCTCAACAGCGAACAAAGAGCAGCATTTGCTGAGATCGAAACTGCAATGAAATCTGAGGTTGATGGCAGTAAATGCTTCTTTTTAGATGGGCCAGGAGGAAGTGGAAAAACTTATGTTTACAAGACATTGTTGAGTCATGTTAGAGGACAAGGAGAGAATGCCCTACCAGTTGCTTCAACCGGTATTGCTGCAAATCTTTTAAAAGGCGGAAGAACCTACCATTCTCAATACAAGCTTCGTCTGAAAATTGACGAAACTACCGTATCTGGAATAACAATGATGAGTAAAGATGCCGATATAATCAAAAAGGCGAAATTATTGATTTGGGACGAATCAACAATGGCACCTGCTCATGCACTAAATTGTGTTAATCGATTACTTAGAGAGATTATGGAAAAAAATGTTCCTTTTGGAGGGAAAGTTTTGTTATTGCCGACAAACACTTCCAATTATTTCTCACGGAGACGCAGTTGCAGTAGTACAAGCAAGCATTAAGTTCAGCCCATTGTGGAATAAATTCAAGGTTTTGAAATTAAACAACAATGTTCGATCACTAGATATTGAGTACAGCAATTGGCTCATGAAACTTGGTAATGGAGAACTGAAAAATCAAGATGGTTTGAACGAAAATTTGATTGAAATTCCTGAAAGCATGTTAACCTCCGAAAATATAATTAAAGATATTTTTGGCGAAACTCTGACTCCAGACAACGTAGAACAATTCTCACAAAGAGCAATATTATGCCCAACCAATGACGAGGTGGATAATATTAATGAAAAAATCTTGGAGATATTGGAAGGCGAGGCAAAGACATACATAAGCTCTGATTCGTTGGTTACTGACGAAGACTCTGACAGAAACGATTATCCTGTAGAATTTTTGAATAGCTTAAAACCCTCAGGTTCGGCACCGCATGAATTAAATTTAAAGAAAGGCGCTTTGATTATGTTATTGAGGAATTTGAATACAAAACGTGGTTTGTGCAATGGAACTCGACTGAAAATAATTGATCTGAAACCAAATTTGATTATTGCAAAAGTGCTTACAGGATCGGCAGAAGGAAACGTTGTATTTATACCACGAATTGATCTTATTACTGATTCCGATCTGCCTTTCCAGCTGAAGAGAAGACAGTTTCCGGTGAAGCTTGCCTTTGCTATGACTATAAATAAATCACAAGGACAGACTATGGACAAAGTAGGGATTTATTTACCAACTCCAGTGTTTGGTCATGGACAACTTTATGTTGCTTTCTCTCGAGTCCGAAGATCGTGTGATGTGAAAGTACACGTAGTGACAACTTTAGAGCATGGGAAGCTGTTACCAGATTCGAATAAAATATTTACAAGAAATGTAGTATACAAAGATATCCTATTCCGATGAGTTGTCCGATAGGCGGAGCCACAAGCTAGAATAAAAAACTAAATAAAAAATTAATTCTGGATAGTTTAGCGACAATTTATTTAATATTCATCGGAAACAGCAGATACATAAAAATTAAATCTACTCCAAGAACACGCTAACAATGGATGCTGCTAATTATATTTGAAATTTTAATAACTTCGATTGAAATTATGAGTCGATTGTGGGGCGATTAAAAAAGTTGCCCAGGGTAGAAAAGGGCGAATGAAAATGATGCGAAGTTGAAGTATCAATTGTAACTTATTAGTTCGGACTGGGTTTTAATCCATGTAATCTGATGGATAAACGAAGGGGGAAAGCATAATATTAGACAACTTGGACTGAATTAATTGTGTAGAAAGTTGCAACAATGAATCCAATAATTGCACTGCCCGAATTTTGGCTGATGAGGGGAAAGTTGGAGAGGAAGGGTTGCGTGGAGATTTATGATTTGATATTTTCTCCAGTAACGCCTTCAATCCATTTCATTGGGCTCTATATTCGAGGGCGGACCGTGTGTGGAATCCGATTGGAGACTATTAACAATAATGCATATGCCAAAGCCGAATCAAATGATCTTAATATCTTAATGAACACGGGAAAATATGGCAAAATATAGGATGGAGGCCTGTGCAATATGGAGGATTGTCAGGATGCAATGGTGATTGTGCCAAAATTTGCAAAATGAGATCTTTTATACTATATAATATGTAACCCAAAATGATGTCGAAGATAAATGCTCTATTTGGTGAAATAAATCAAAATGTACGTTCTATTAATTTTATACACCGTAAGCAGATGTAATTGTTTCATGTAATTATGATTAATGAATTAAAATATTAAACAAACAGAGGGAATTTTAAATATTAAATAACTTTATTTATAAGTTTATCTTAAAGAAAACAACTGAACGGATTAGCGCATATATATAAATATATAATTCGAATTAATTAATTACAATAATTACTATTAAGTACGTGAGGCAGCAGACGGAATGGAACATCGATTAGATATAACAGGAATACGTCAGATTTTGGAAGAAACCAAGAAGATGAGGCGACGTCGTTTAGCTGAAATATAAAAAAACCATTGTTACGGATGTAATCGACAAATTATTACAACAATTTGTGAAAAATTTCTATAAAAATTTGCACAACAATAAAAGTGGTCAAAGGGAAGGAGAAATAAGTATGATCACTATTTCTGATTGACACAAATCAAAACGACGCACCTTTTAATAAGCCGCTTAACTATTCCTTCAGCCATCTTATCAACAACAACATTGATTTTTTGGTCCTGTTGTTGTTTGTATTCAGCTGCAAACGGATTGTTCGTCGTCTTGGTGTACCCCATCACTTGCACTGCAAATTCAGATTAAATAAAATTAATTACATTGGTTAATAAAGCATTGCAAACAATAACTAATATTAGCATTCTAGCATTGCAAATATTATAAACAATAATAATTAAATTTCGTTACATATTGGAGTTACAAATTGTTTTCTTACCATTCTGAGTACGGATGTATGACATCAAAGGCGTCCCTGCATTCGTGACGCCTACGATAACCTGTTTAAAGCTGGGGGCCAACTCAACTTTGAATACTCCTAAGAGATAATTTAAGTATTAGAAGGTTAATAATAATAATCATTAATTCATAAGCTTAATCATTTTTGTATTACTAACCGTTTTCTTCATCAAGTGGAAAGAGAAATTTCATGGGCCGCACACAAATGGGACATGTGGGTTGTACTGGCACCAATTTCTTGAATTCGTTCTCCCCTTTTTGGGTGCGGCAGCGCTCCAAGATGCAAGCGAAGTGGAAGGGGTGGGAACAGGTTTGATTGGTGCTTGATCCACTAGAATACAGGTTTCCGATCTTGAGAGGACCAAGGCAGATCATGCAGCTGTCTTCTTTCGAAATAGCTGGAGCTGTGAAGTTAATGTCATAATAAAATGTTAATTCAGTAATAAAACGGAAATTAATAATAAAATAAATAAATAGGGAATAATCAATAGAATAAGTAGGAATTAATAGAAGCAATAGAACAATAAAAAAACATTTAAGACTTTAATTACAAATTCGCATTATCAGTGAAAGCACTCAAATATCTTATTTAATACTCAAGTATTTAACCAACCAAACCAAGTTCCAGTATTATCTGCGTGAACCCTCTTTAAGAAATTACATATTGAATTTAAAAGACTGAAATTCAAAAATCCAATCCCACCATCCGTATCCAAGAATTCCAAACTATCCATTTAAAAATTTATTCATCAATTTGCCTCTTTTAAAAATGCAAAGGTTAAAACAAAATATAAATAAAACTTACCCATTTCTCTCCAAAAACAATGTTGATGATTAGGATAAAATATTTTACGCGAGCGAGCTCTTCATTCGGGGAGATCTGACATGGGAATGAGAGCAAAACGTGTTGAAACGCCAGCTACACAGACTCCCAGCAGAGCAGTCAGATCGAACCTGGAACGCATATTGAAGTCTGGCGTAGTACTGCGTTTGCGTGACGTTTGGTTCTGATAAATCTTTGATGGAACTTACAAGCACGAATGAATTATGGGGAGCCACCACCGAGAATGTATTTTTTTATTTTGATTAGCCCAACTTATCTGTAGTTTTAATAAAAATTTCAAAACGGTTACAATATAAGGTGTTTGCTCCCATTCTAATGTAGAGTTGAGATAATAAATGTTCAAATGCAATTGAATTGAATAAAATACTAAACTGTGTGAAATGTTCTAAGTACCAGACGTTATGTATCCTGAGTCTTCTTGCAAAGATAAACGTGTTTTATTGTTTTATTCCTCAGTATTGCTGCAATATCGTAAATGGGATGAATAAATTAATAAATTACGAATTTGAGCAACTAAGTAATTAACGAATTAAGCATATTAAATCACTGATGAACTATAGCCGATATGAATATTTAATTAATTTTAATGTCAGACTGAATTATTTAATGAAATAGAATTATTATTATTTAATAGAATGAATTATTATTTTATGTTTGAATAAAAAATGTAACTCCTGTTTGCAGTGGAAATGAAATTTTGCATGTATGTATCATAATTATAGGCACATTTATGAAAATATGACCTAACAATGCTAGCATCTGAGCACAATATGAAGATTAGTCTCTGTTAAATACAACTCAATTTTTTATCTGAATTACTTAAATGAGATTAATGAGGCATCGTCAATTAAATTACGGCTTATTAGTTTAGAATTCAAATTGCAACAACTAAAAATAATATTTTGGTTTGCATAAGATAATCTTAATTAAATCATGATAATTCTAAACACTATAATGGAATAGTTTAAACTAATTCTTGAAATGAGATTATGATTGAAAAAGCTTTAAATAGTTTTATTGCAGTATGAACTGACTTTATTTCATGAATTATTACTTAAAAATTTACATAAAATGTATACTTTAAAATAACAACTGTTATAATTGTAAATCTTTTATACGATTAAATTAAAGTTGGTATATATAAAAGATAACTGTAATGTTGGGCTTATGAAGTCGATCGTTAATAGTACAAAAGTTGTGATCTTAAGATGAATTATTTTAATGGAAATAATTAAACTATAAGAGTGAATTTAAATGCAAAATTATTAAATATAATTGACAAATTAGTGCGTCCCTTTCACTGATCCATGATCTTCTGCTGACTCTTCTATTTTCCTTGCTGTCTCCGTTTCTGCGACTTTCTTCCATTCATCCGCTTTTCCATCTACTACTTTTTCCTCTCCTGTTCCTTCTCCTGTTTTTTCATTTTCGCCTACCTTCTCATCTGTGTCCATTAGGGCGGGATTATTTTCTGAAACAGCAGCAGCAGCAGCCAGCAAAACTTCCTCTTCTCTGGCAGCTTTCTCAGCCTTCCACAGAAGAAAGTCTGGATCTTGCAACTCCATCCGAGCTTTCTTGACTTCGGCCTCCAATCGGTTCTGCTCAATTTTCTCTAAGCGCCGTTTTCTGTTTATTCCAGCAGTGTTGGAGGTACCACACGATTGGCAAAAGCTCATAAAGCCTAAATTTAAAAACAACTTATAAACACGTACCTAGAAAAATTAATTGTTCAATAAAACTTGCTGACTTACTGTGGATGAAAGAATCACAAATTCGGCATCTCCCCCATTTGCTGTTCGCATCAAAGCCATCACGCAACATCATCGGCGCCTTGCATGCTTTGTACGGGCATTTGTCTAAAATTAGAAATTCAATGCAAAATTGTTTAACTATGAAATAGAAATTTGGTTAATGATACAAGCAGGTTGGAATTTACCTAGACGCTCCTTGGCCTGCCTGTAGATGACCAATCCACATTCAGCACAGTGTCGATCATGAGGGCCCTTCAATTCCCTTGGGGCTTTGGGGTCGAAAATTCCTACGGCACCAGGTGCGAACGTTCCCAGGGATTCAAAAGACATTTTCTGCTAAATAAATTACAGCAATATTTTATTTGGTTTATTCATAACTAATAAACAGGTTAATACTATAACTAATAAAGTGCGGCAAAGCACGATACATAAGTAGCGCAATAATGCTTAGAATGCATCACAATATAAAGCAAATAATTAACCGATTCAAATTTTAATAATGCCTAAAAACGAATTAATTAAAAACAAATTAATTATCTCTAATTGACCACATGCGCTATACTGCAACATGTAGACCACACCACAAAACATGTTTTGGCCAAATTTCATGCAAATCGCCTTAAAAATGGCGAAAAATACCTGGATTTCATTCATAGATTAATTTGCGCTATAAATCTCAATTTGCCCCGATCACACTGCGACCACACCCCCTGCCGCCGGTGGGGTGTGGTCCAAAAGTTTACGGGATCCTCCCCCTGGGGTCATATGTATGATGCCGCAAACCGATTTCGATTATCTTAATGCGTACTCGAGTTTTAGTGTTGACAGACGGACAGACAGACTAACTAACCGATCGCATAAAGTAGCTTGCGCTACTTAATAAATAGGTCACTATTATGGACTAACTGTTTGTTCAAAAAATTGAGACAAAAGTCCTTAAATTTTTCTAAATGAAATTTTATTTAGTGCTGTGCTAACAAACTCTGCCAGATAACCTCACAGTTTTTTGTCCGTATTTGTTCCTAATGAACGTAATTATGAAATATTGTATTAGTAAGGAATTACCTGTTCCAATGAAGTAAAACTCGGAGCTGATCACTAGAATTGCGTCGTACACTAGGATGCAATATAATCCCTGAGTTATAAAATTTAAGGAGATCCAACTTCGTCTGAGTTTAGTCGTCGACTGTACGGAGTTGGCAAAAGCTTACAGGCTTATATACACGTGTTGATCTATAAACGTTTCTTGAATGAAATTGGCATACGTAAACGTTTGCCTATGGCTGGCATACGTAAACGTTTGCCTATGGCTGGCATACGTAAACGTTTGCCTATGGCTGGCATACGTAAACGTTTGCCTATGGCTGGCATACGTAAACAGGATTGGACAAGTTTGGAAATGTTCGACCTGACTATAGTACAGGTTTGAATTTAGCGGCCGGGTTCACATTGCCCCATTTTCACAAAGTGCTCAATTTAGTGCCACCTATCGATATTTGAAGAATTTATGTTGTGCAATTGTCGTCTAACATCAGTAAAATTATAAAAGTAAAATTATAAATCGAATATTCACTACTTTTCATTTGATGGAGCTATTGTAAATGTCAGATTTAAAGAAATCGGACTGCTTAAATTTTTTGGAGTACGCCCACCACCACCACCGTGTGAATATGCAGATAGTGCCGTATGCACTGGCCCATATTCCATTCTTTATTTCGCACAAACCACATTTATTCCCTTCAGTTTACGGCCCTTATTTTGTCTCATAAAAAATCTCACCAGTACCCTGCCGAAGGGTCGCACGCGGCCCAGTTTTAAATTTGAACCCGATTTCCTTAGATCTGACATTTACAATAGAATGTAAAAATGAGAATTGTGAGTAAATCCGAAGGCATAGTAGAAGGGACAGACGAAATCCCTAAGGCAATATTAAATTTTAGAGTTATATAGGCTGTTAAAACATCGACTCCATACATGGTTGCAAAATAAGCTCTGCATTGGGAGCCCGCTGGGCGGGCTTTGAGACTAGTGATTTAAGAGATAATACCCGCCCAACATCGTTATATGAGAGTACTCCCGCCGAGATCAATATGAAAAATATCAAGTTGCCCCAGATCCACGGTGTGAACGGTGTAATCCACGCTGAAAATTTTACCTTGCCATGAATCGTGTCAAACTTACAGTAGAAAAAGTGCATCCTAGTAAAACCGTGGTATCGAAGGGTATTAACAAATTCGAACCTAAGCGGGCCTGTGCTCGGGACTGCGTTGAAGTTTAGGCGGAATTTTGCACAATGTTTGGACCCTTGCTCTCCCGGGATGAAAGAGACATTGAGCCGTGCTTGTACCCAGGTGGAGAGTATTTTGCCTTCGTTGCAGACAAAAAGCCGTATATTTTGCAGTCTTCTTTTAAACTTGCTGTTTTCTTGGGGAAATTTAGGCCAAAAAGAGGTAACACATTTCGCATTATGGATATCTTTTGCAACAAAAATTCGTAAGCTGATATTTCTGGACAACCAATTCCCAGTGTAGCTAATAAATTCACGTGTCAGTGTCAGGTCTGTTTCTCACGGATCTTCTTAAACCCAGGACTACAAATTAAGTACTTAAACACAAATGGAACCGATGGTGGGGCTTGTTTCTGTAACTTTCGAGGATTTAAGCAGGTTTTAAATTTTTTAAAGGCGAATTTTCCTTAAATGAAACAATACGGCGCTCAATTCTCCACTTTCCGATGGTGAAGATTCGCGTTTTTATGAACTAAAAAGCTTAAATCCGCAAATTCTTCGGAAGTGCGAAAGTGCCAAACTACCTGTTGTTTGTATTGTGTGATTTTTTTATCCCGGATTTTAAGAAGACCTGTGAGAAACGTGTCGAACCTATGAATTGTAAGCGTTCTTATATCTCCGGTGGAGGACAGTCTTTGCCATTCATTCTGGCAAAATACGCACCAAAATGCGAATCGAATCGGTTTAAAAATATCCTTTTCCAGGTTTCCGAGCAATTGAAATATTCGAGCTGGATATTTATAATCGACACATTTTTTCACACTGAGCAAAAATGGGGATGTCGCGACTATAAGGAATGGTTCAGGACGGAGAGAAAAGTTTGAGGTTTGTACGAAATTTCGGATAATACCATCTTTTTCAGAAAGTTGAGCGACGATAAGGACATTTACGCAGCATGGCTCATAAAATGAAATGACGGGATTTTGTAAAACTCCCCTAGTCGCCAAGATTGAACGGCCCGACAGTGGTATTCGAGTGGCCAATAATGTCGGCCGAAGGTACCATCTTGTCCTCGTGTTTTAAGTCGGGCCGTGGGTGGCCAAAATTATCGGGCCGAAGGTTGGAAATGTTTTTCCCGACCTCGTGCCATCAGCCGCCCACCATCCTACCGATCCAATGCCATGGTTGGCCCCAACCATTCCCCAACGAATTTTAATAATCTCACACTGTTTATTTCTGATTTAGTTCATTTATTTGATATCATGTAGTAATGGAAAACAGACAAAGTTCTCTTTAAAGGGTAACAAAATACATCTATGTGCAATTTGTAAACAATTCAGCTCACAAGTTTTTTTCATTTCATTTCCTAAAATAAAAATTCCTAACTTACAACTACTTATAGGTTTTTCGTATAGTGATTTTTTGTTACTAAATGTTTCGTAATGAACTATTTTAACATTTTTAAATCTATTGTACGTAATTCTTCGAACTATAATAATTTGACCAGAATTCAGAGAATAACAGCTATTTACAATTATTTTGTTTGCTTGAAAATTTTCGCGTTTCTCGTCTAATTCTCTCTTAATAACGTTACACTTTTCGTTTTCTACGATTCTTTTTGCAACCTGTTGGAGATAAAATGTTTTTGTTCTTGTCATTTTCTTCAGTTGCTGCATGAAATTTTCAAAACCAAACGCACTAATATTATCTAATTGTCCGAAGTTTAGAGCGTCCTCATGAATATGTGATAAACCATGGACATTATAAACCATAAAATTACTGTCATATACGACTCTGCATTGTAAAATAAATTTTGTCAACAACCGCCTGGCTAAAGCGTTCCACTCGGGGTCATCAGCATTGGCCGATAAAAGAATAAACATAGCACAATGAAAATAAAGGAAATGAATGTAATACTTCTCCGGTAAGACATTTTTCAGTGCTACTGGACCTGTGTACAGCATTATCGTTCTAAATTCCGTGGCCTTAAAATTATCAATCTCATTCAAACTTCTTGGTCTTCGCTGAAAATCACGAGGCATAAACGTTTTGAAATTTATAAATCTGTCTGAAATTTCATTAATAATTTTACTCTGCATTCTATGAGGCAATTTCCCTTTTGCCCACTGTCGCAAAAGTTTTCTCATGACCCCTAAGCAACACATGTGCATATAGTCATATGGAATCTGCGAGACCAAGCCAATTTGCAATTTTGATAAAGAAGTAGAAAATTTATGATGATTCTCGTCTAATTGTGAACGAAACGATTCATCTGTACGCGAAGCTGAATTTAATTCAGTGTACACTACACTTTTTCCAAATTCGCCGTGTTGAACACATTTCTCACACCCTGAATAACTATTATGATTCTTAATTCCCTTAATGAAACTTCTAGCTGGAGCATCAGCAATAATACAGGAAATTCTGAAACGAAATTTCTTCCCTAAATGATTAAATCCATCCTTCTCTAGTGTAATTGTCTCAGCAATAAAATCATTTAGAAAATCTAAATTAGTAGGTTTTTGAACTCCGTAAAATAGCCCTATTACAAAAATTGAATTAATTTTAAGTTGATCAATTTTACCAAGAAGCGGCCAAAATTGGGATCTTGTACTCCTACTTAATGGAATACCATCCACACCTACAGATATTGTTACAAGATTTTCGCCAAAATCGTGATAAAATTTGCTAAAAATTGTTGATTTTGGCTGAACGAGGTGAGCGATATTTGAAATTGATCTCTTTAAATTTTTTTCTATTCCGAAATATACAAATTCTCCACCAGAAATAAAATCAGTTTCAACTACTCGGGGAGTTTCTAATAATGTTCGAGGATCTAGTGGAACTGTTAATTTGAGACTACTAGATAATAATG